GATCACTATTTGAATTTTGTGCGCCTAAATTTTAGGAAGTATGTCTGAACTAACTTCGTACGAAAGATGTTGACAGCTTGATTTTATTAATAATTCACGCAGATATCGAAAGGAATAGTAAATTATTGGGCAGCGATTGTTATCACTTAAAACAGTATCTTTGTTCTAAATTCTAAAATTGTTTTTCTTACAAGAACTCGAAAGAGAGGTTAGAAGAAACATCTGTCAAAAGCGATTTGTTGCGCTGGTGCGGTACAAGAATGGAAGTGAAATAGACATATACAGATGAAATGCATATAACAAAGATGAAGATGTGGTGATCACACAACTATAGCATTATACTACTCCCCTTGACATAGAAAACGACACAGCTTTCAGTTTGAGTATTGGTATCTATTTATTATATGATCTAAGGTATGATGACTGGAAGTAAGTTGCAAAAGCGTCAAATATTTTTCCGCTCGAAGTTATGGTATCATTTTCGAATGTCATTCTACCCGGAATTCTTGATTCACCTTTCCTGGACTTAATGTAGGACCAGAATCTCTTTGGATCTTTGGTTATGTTATTTTGCGTTACCTCAATATACTTTTTATGCGAAAGGCAATATCTTTTTTGACATATTTACGATATTCTTTGAATTTGTCTAGATAAAATTCATTTTTGGTTTGTTTATACTTATTATGATAATATGTTTTTAGTCTAAGTTTACTTATAATATCAAAGTGGAACCAAAGGGGATACGTTGTTTTTTGTTTAGAAGTGAAGTTATAACGTGGAACGTGCTTATCAAGAGTACTATAGAGCACATTGTAAAACTGTTCCACTGAATCATCAACATTTTTGCATTTGTCTAAAAATGACCAATCAATATCAAACAGATCGCGATAAAGCGTTTGAAAGTTAGCTTTCTTAAAGTTATAAGTCCAAAATTTGCTGTAATCATTAGTAAAATTAAGAAAAGTGTTAAACGATTCAACAGAAATTAACAGAGCAGGGTGGTGGCTGTCTTCAGGGATAATAGAATCATTATCATGACTGATTTTACAATTTACATTAGCAAATATAAGGTCATGTAATCTACCAGAAGATTTTTTCATATTTTTGTATTGTGTCAAGTTCAAGAATCTGCAAAAGTTATTAATTGTATTCATTACATTATTATTTATGTCCATGTTAAAGAATGGTATATTAAAATCACCCAAAATTATTAAATCATTGCTGCCTGAATTGTAGTGCTCTTCAAAGAAATTGCAAAATATAGACAAGTGATTTACAAATGGTGTTTTAGAGAAATAAGCTACTATGATACAAAGTGGTTTGGTCTTAAAGTTAAATTTACAACCAATTACTTCAATTGAAGTGATGTTATCGCGAAGATACGATAAGTTTTGTAATTCCGCCTGTAACTTGTTATTTACTGCTAAAAGAACACCTCCACCTCTAGAAATACCCAGTTGCCTAAAGTTACGGTTACATCTGAAGGTAGTGTAGATTTGGGGACATAATATTTCGGAGTTGGAGATTGAGTCACACAGCCAAGTTTCACTAATACAAATAATGTCAAATGTGGAGTCACTTGTAGCATTATAAAAGTCCTGGGTCCTATTGCGAATACTTACTACGAGCATTCTGATAATAAATCAGTAAAGAGCCATTGGGCTTTAAGCGTTTAAATTTGACTTAACTATTTGCGGAACATCCTGTATGAACTTGATTCCAATATTATCCTCTCCGTTATTTATACGTTGACGCAAATCATTTTTGACTGACTGTAGGTACGATAATTGTAGTGGGGTTCTTGTCTATGGATACACCGACGTTTTTAAGTTGTCGATCATTCTGGATTTGAGCAGTCTTTGTACGAACGGTTTGTAAAATTTTTTTAGCTTGCTGTACTTTGATGGGCCGAGGACGACTTCTATTGACATCATATTTCCCTAAACGGAAACAATCAAGATCCGTAACTGTAGCATCGCCAGTTATTTCAAGAAACGCCAAAAAGTCAGTGACGAGGGTTCGATCTTTAATTTTTCTCTCAGATGCGGGCGTATGCTGGGGTAGTTTATCGAAGCCGTAAAATATTAGATTTGATTTTCTGAGCTGACGTTCGTTTACTTCTCGAATGATATCTTCAAGTCCAATGTCGGACGGCGTTTTTTATGACAACTGGTTTTTTAAAGATTCAACTGTAGCTGATAGCTTATCAATTACTTCCTTTAGATGGGGAATTATGTCACAACAATCACACTTGTTATTAGAAACAGAAGCTGAGGTAGACTTGGAGCACTTTGGGCACTCCCAAAAAAAGCTAGGAGTAGACCTTATCAGGTCAAGTTGATTTTTTGTAATATCAACACATCTGATGTGATAGTATGCCGCACAAATTGCACATTTTATACTCTGCACAGTAGGGGTTATCACATTCTCACACTTGACACAAAGAGCCGGCATTTTCGAAAATAATATCTGATAAACACGGAGCACAACGAAACACGTCCGTTCGGTTGACTGCTACCTTGTTTTTTTGCATAGAAGAGTATATTTTTCATTATTAGAAACATTTTATATTCTGTGGCATGTACCGTTAGCGGAATTCCATAGACCATATGGGCAGAAGGAAGTCCTTTGCGAAGTATCGTTTCGTCCAGAATATCGTCTAGTCTGGAAAAAGTACATAGAATAAAGTAGGTAATTAAGGTAAACTTACATAATAAGCATATCGTATAATCCACTTTCAATATCATTAAACATTTTAAATTCGTCTTGGGGACACTTTACCCAAACATTACAAGCACCAAACAGTCGTTTGAAAATGTTCCGATCTACGCAATCAATAGATACAGACAAAATTTTGCTTTTGTCGCTATATTACCCCTTCGCCTGTGATCTGCATTTCGTCTATGTTTTACTTTTTAACCTGTCCAGGTGTGTCCAGTATTCATAGAAAATCTGACTTTTATAAAAATTTATATTTTGCTTCTATAATTCCGATTATTTTTCTTTATTATACGTACGAACATACTAAACACACAAATAACTGCCTTAATTGTCTTTCGTGTCTACTTATAAAAATCCTTGACCAGTAAATCTAATACTAGTCGTTATAAACAAGTAATGGCCCATTTATCGTTCTCCAATTACGTCAGCAAAAATGAAGAAAGCGGCAGCGACTATAGTTTTGATTTTGCTGTGTAGCTGCTATTCCATGAAATTACGTCAACTTCGTAATTTAAATTTATCACGAACTTCTTTAACTTAATTTTACAGCAACAACTTTCGACTATTTATCCCTAGGGATTAAAAATTTGCTACTATGGGTACCGGTCGAGGTTGCAGGACAGAAGAACTGTTGAGAATAGAAATAGATTGCGTAGAGGAACCGTCCTTGTTATCAGCGTACTTGACACTAAGACACAAAAGTCGTCACGATTTAACATTGTTAATGAGCAAAAGAAGTCGATCCGTTTTCTGGAACTGTACAAGAAATACGCCAGACTGAGGCCTGAAAATGTGCCGCACAAAGAGTTATTTATAAATAACAGAGGGAATAAGTGCATCAAACAACCCATTGGAAAAATAATCTTCTCAAAGTTTTGTCGAATTTTTGAAACTACCAGATTCTACGCTGCGTACAGGGCACTGTTTTTGTCGGTGCTCTGCGACATTTTTAGTGAAAGCTGGTGTTAAACGTTTATAAAAATGTTTCGTTGTGTTTATTCTTTTTTGATAACAATTAACAAGAAGTTAATCGGTATGAGAAGAATATTCCATAGGTGAATAAAATATGTGTCCAATAATACAACCATTGTGACTGTTGACGACTGGAGCTTTTTCCAGCCGTGTTTTTTTTTCTTACTAATCAACACAAAATTGACAATTAGCAGAACACAATTGACGTAGGACGAAAATCAAAAGAAAAAAACTATTTTATGATGGACTTCTTTGTATACATACCTACATCCTTCCTCTGTCTTCAGATATTGTGAAGATTTGTATTGTGTTTATTAATTTATTTATTTACTTATCTATATAGCGAAAACAATTGTTATATCATGTAATGTTTTTGTTTAACTTCCGTTTCTCTCTCAACCGTCAAAAGCACTAATAAATTTTCCACAAAATTGTGGCAAATTTCCGGCGATTACTTTTTTTTTATAATTAAAAATTTGAGAAGATGTACAAAAAGTTTTAGCATGTAAAGTATTATTTTGCCATTTGACTGCCAATTTTATTTTCTCTTTCTGTACTGCATTAAATATAATTGAATTGCGAAACCAATTCTTAGCAAATAGATATCTAATATCTTATCTGCTACGACGCAAATGGAAACAACTAGATAAATATGAATTACTACTTAAATAAGAAAAAATGTTGTGATTTAATTGTAAAATTTTCAAGCAAGACGTCAATCAACACTTCATATTTGTCGATACCTTAAATCTAGCTTTTAAAATCTTTACTTGTAGTAACTAACCAAAAAGCAATGAATTTAAAATGTAAATTATGTACAAACTTTTTGCACTTTTTGCAATTAGCATGTGGGTGACGTGTTTATTGATTTATTACCAGGCTTAAACAAAAAACTAAAAGAGACTCACTCTCATTTTAAGCATGCAAGTACATTAAGCTATGCTTCATAATCATCCGATGGTGTTTCGTCCACAAACATCTGAAGTTTGTACACCATAGTTATCAGTAACAACAAAAATTAATTTTACTTCCTCTTGTCTTGTTAAAGCTCGTTTACTGTCGTCTGAACTAACTCGGTAAATTAGCCTTTACACGCACCCTGCCTGTAAAGCGTTACCGTGGCAGCTTTACAGGCACCTTGCCTGTAAAACGTTATCATGACAGCACCGGAATCAAAGACACATTCGCTGCGTCGGCCTTTTTCTTAATCTCACTAATACTGTGCTAATACTAACGTTAAAATCACCTTCAAACTCTTCATCTTCATCGAATTCCACAATTAACAGAGCTCAGAAACAAAATTAAACTATTTAAATTATTAATCGAATTTACAAATTGACAGTCCCGTTATTTTCAAACAATTCAATTTTCCATAGTTACCGGAGCAAACTATGAAAAATAAGTACAATTTCTATGACTGTAATTTCAAGTAAAATTTCTACAGATGCCAAAGTTGTTCATTTTCAGGATTTTCAGCAAGAGGAAGTAAAACGTTGTACGCGGCTCGCTTGCAACTAGCCTTTACTGGGGCTCACCGGATTACAGGGCTCGCTCCTACGTCGCTCGCCCTGCAAACATTCCGGCTAGCCCGTAAAGGCTAATTTACTAAGCTTGCCACGTAAATAACTATAAGAAGATCACCCCGCCGTAAACTACGTGTACATATTATTACTTGATCTCTTGCTTGCTTTGTTTTATTTTAATTTATTGCTAGTTGCTTTAATAAATCTAAATCTACGTACGAAACATATTTATACATTATAAGCTATGAACCGTGGAGAAAACATTAAATTAGCCATTTATCAGATTTTGCTTTTTTTCATAACTTGGAAAGTCTTGCTCTTGATAACACCAACTTATCAGATATGCTAACCCCACCTGTAGAAAATAGTATATAAGGAACAACATTAAAAAGTTGGTGATAATTGTAATACGGATGATTTAAAAGTTTACCGTAATAAAGGAATACTTTAATTGTAAACATATTTTATAAAAGTTTTTTGTGATTATAAATTTCAAAAATAAGTGAACTTCCTGACGGGTAAGTTGAAAATTACAGTTAGCAATTACCATGTACGCGTATTTTTTATTTTTTATAATAATCATTAAAGAATTTATTATAACAATATGTACAGTACAACACTTCAGACCTAAAACGTACATTTCTACCTCGGGTAGATCTCCAAATTTGTGTTCTAATGGTCCTTCTTATAAATAAAGAGCGAATTTGAGACTAAAAAACAAAAATAAGCGATAACAATTGTGGATTTAGAGACGAAAATGGCAAAATAGGTGCTTTAGGCAAGTTTTAGGAAAAACAAATTTTACGCAACGTCTGGTTTTCTTTGAGATCTATAATATGGAAATTTGGTGTGGATGTATAGTTAAACATGGCGACTTGATAACAATATCTTTTCTTTTTTATCACTTTCGGTTTCACACACAAGACCGCCTATTTTTTTTTTTTTTGTTTTAATATAACACCCAGATTTTTTTAACATTTTCTGATGTAGAATAAAAAACTAATTTCAGAAATTATCAACATATTTATTTCTACTTATTCAAAAAAATTGAAAAAAAATTGGTCGAAAGTTGTTTCGATAGAACCTCCCTCGCTCCTGAAGTACAATAAAACATATCCGGCGTTTCCGATGATAAATAAATATTGTAATATCCAAAGCAAATTTTAGAAAAAAAACTTTTCAAATAACGAAGCTATTCGACCGTTCGCAGACTTTATACTAACCCTATATTTATTTTGTTATTGCACATAATCAGCGATTCTAATTCTATATAGTTAAATTTGCATAACAAATTAGATGTTTTTCAAAATTTTCTGCAGAAAAATGTTTCCTATTGTCTGCTAAGACGTTTTTTGTCTAGAGAAAGATCTCCTAACATCACACTGAATTGTACAACATTAAGAATTTACACTTACAATTTTTCCAAAGGATTTACAGAACAAATCGCCGTTTTTTACTTGAAAAACGTTTTTGTTTTTCGTTCGTTCCCTCAACTTGTTCTTTAAAGACGATTTGACTTTTTTTTATTATTGTAATTCACATTGGGTTATTATAACTTGTCTAAGACTAGGTGAAGCAAACATTTCTCTAGGGGACGCTTAGCATCCCTTCGCATTCGCTTACCTAGAGCCCTCTCAAGGGGTCGTGAAACGCCGAGAAAATATGAAATTGCTAAATCGCCTGGTGAACTCAATTACTATATTACTTAGCTTACGCTCAATATTTCTGTAGTATACTTAATACAGGGTGCCGCATCCTAGTCTGGACATAGAGAATTAACATGGCAAATTAGTTTTTATTTTATAATATCTCCCCAGATCACTTTAAAGCTATTATTAAGTGATGCCTTTGTGGACGTCGAAAAGGGCTATCGCCCAGTATTTTTTTCAAATCGTTGCATCGCTCTCATTTACTGTAAAAAGGTTATAAAAATCGTATTTTGAAATTCGGACCCGAGCTGATTTGTCCCGAAATGTTCCGGCGCACTGTCGAAGTCAAATATCAAAGTGAAATTAAAAATTATTTTTAGAAATCAACGAACAACTCAAACTGAATTATTTCATCCAGTCTGATAATTATTATTGTAGGATAAATTAAACGGAATCAATGCATAAATTGATCCATTCGTTCGTCATAGTGCGCGACCCCGTCAAATGAGCCATCTTCTACTATACTCAGGCCGTAGCCAAAAAGCCAGAGATGTAGACTTCGAGCAGCTGGTCTTCCTCAGAACCCCATCGACAGCATTATGACATGCCCTGGGAGCCCGTCAAGCTAGGAATTTACTCACGCTGTCCCATTCAGTAATCACTGAACGACTCAAATTGAATTATGTTATCCAATATGACGATTATTGTAGCTCGATTTAAACGGAATAAATGCACAAACTGCACAAAATATTTTATTAGGTTATGTTGGTGGTGCTGGTCGAGTCTTTATTACTAAAATCTCATTAAAATGCCATGTTCTACTGCGATTAGATGAAAAAGCGAGGGCCCCCTTTTCTTATTGTGTGATGATAAGATTTACCATCAAAACAGCTGGCGCTTTTGAAGAGAACCTTTGAATGAACCATTTAGATAACTACAAATAACAAAACTTAACAATTGTTGATGAATGAAGTAATGAAATATTGTACGAATCTAGAGAAGTATTGCCACTATTTTCAAGAATTGGTCAAAAAGTCTGCTCTCAGCAGTTGTACAGTAAGTAAGCCGATTTTCAAAAGTCCTACGCGTGTTGATTAGCATTTGAGTTGAAATCTGAAGACAATATTGCTGGATTGTTTCAGATTTGGATGCGGCACCCTGTATATGATATAAAATGGTATTAGTATGATAAACATATAAAATAGAAATGAATAATGGGTTAGTGTGGATGAGTGGACAGCATTTCTTTCGTTCTCTTCGATAAGAGATCTCGCTTCTTTAAGACTTTTATTAGTTAAGTTCAACTGATGATAGTTATGAATCTTGTACATTGTAGGGACATACCTACAATGAGAAATCAGTATCGTTAACAGGTTTGAACTTATTTAAACATATAGGTATCTAACACTAAATTAAAAGACGGTAAATAATTTGAATGGACAATAGAATATAAACTTTCATGTGGTTCTGACACAGACTGGCTAGTAAAGGCGGTGCCTGATCTATTCAATTTAAACAAATCGCTTCCTTCTAATTTAACATTGAAAGGTGTACTAAAATTTCTATAATTTATAGTTACGTATTCGGTTGATTCCTAACACGATGACTAATGTTACTGTAAACTCTTATTAGTTGGCAATTATCGTTGGTGATTAGGGAGTGTTCTCTAGCCTCTAAATAAACTCCGGGTTGAAGAGAAAAAGATTCATTATAATAAAGGTAATCTTCATGGAAATTATTGCCAAGATCGAAGCTAATGACCATGTAATTGAAAATGGAATTAGTGAAGGATATAAAAGATGGTCATAGTAAATCTTGGACAGTTCGTCTTCTCGAAGTGGGGCGCAGAGCCCCATGATTTAGAGATAGGAGTTAAGCTACTCCATACTGTAGACGTCATTCTCGGGTTAGGTTTAGAAATATATACCGGGTGTTCATTTTTTCTGTTCACGCCTGACAATTTTTGCATAGGCAACATTTTATACACCCCAGAGACGACTTCGTCCAATTTTTTTTTTTTTAATAAGCAAAAATAACAATCACAGAAAAAAAAATGACAAAGATGTCAATGCCAAATAATGACAAAATTGAAACAATTAATACTCAATTATTAATGGATCAGATTACAACGAAAACGAATTTATAATAAATGTTCCAAACGCCTGCTTCCCCTATCTTCACGAAGTCCTATCCTACATTGAAAATTTCTACCAACTCTATCTCACAACTCGGGAGTTATAGATCTGCATGATACTATTATCCTTTCACGTAAGTGGTTTTGATTTTTGATTGGAACACTATAAACGTCATTTTTCACCTTCCCCCAAAGAAAAAATCTAATGGATTTAGATTAGGGCGCCGTGCAGGCCAAGCGTACTCTTCTTCTCTAACATTAAGTCTTGGTTCAAACGCTGTGTGTAAATAGTTCCTAACGTCTCTCTGATAATAAGTGGGCGCGCCATCATTTTGAAACCAAATTATTCTTCGTATGTCCAGCTTTATGTTTTCCAACAGTTGAGGTATAATATTCTTTAAAAAATTTAGATGCATGGACCAATGACGTGGTTACCATCAATTCCACACCAAGCATTAACTTTGAAAACTTCTTGGAAGTGAGAAGGTATATTATAAAATCAACGAATTTATAAGTTAAAGTTTAGTTTTTTCATTTAGAATATGTTTTAGAGGAATAAGTTGCCTAAATTTTGGGTAACACTCTACAGATATGAGGCACATGGGAGGAAAATGTTAATTTAGAATCGAATATAACCTCAAAATTGTTAACCTTGTGTACATATTCTATTTTTTCGTTGATGCCTGAAACTTTACGTGATGTACCAAACAAGATATAACAAATTAGCAAATTTAGATTGTTAAAATTAGTATCAGGTGGTCTGTACAAAGCAGTGGCGGCTCGTGACTGTCTGATGTGGTGAGGCGATGATAGAAATTTGACAATAATAGTAATATTACTTGGTCTTACTAGTTAGTAATGATAGAAGTCTTGCCTGAATACCGGTCATTCCCGGGTCAGTGGTAGGTCCTAATAATAATAATAATAATAACACCCATAACACATTGAATCAACAATGTTTTTACAAGTCAAAATTTTGTTGAAAGTAGCACTTTCTTGGAGGGATGCGGGAATAGTTGTTGTGTTCTTTTCTAAACGTTTTAAGCCCATGAAATTTTTAATGTGTACTTTGGAACTTTCATGTAACTTTGCACTTCGGATGAAATTCTTAAAATCGTCATATCCCGGGATGTTGTGTAAATATTACGGCAGAGCCATTTATATGTTTCTTAGGTACCAAGTTGATTTAAAAGACTTGGAGGATTGACGATTCTGTCGCTTATCAATGGAAGTTAAATGAATTAACGGTTTTGACTGCCCGATATTTAGCAAAATTCGCCGACGTTCTAACTCGGTTCGCCGTGAAAACGGCGTTTCAAGAAGCAACATGACGATATCGTATTCGGGATTCATTTTTCACTCATCTCTACCTATGAAAGAGACAATAACACAAAAAACCAACACGTGGGGTTTTATTCACGTTCATGCTAATTACCCACGCACCCCGCAACCTGTAAAATAAATGGAAAAATAGTTTAATGAGTACGCCGAAATTGGCCGAGAAGCACCGAAGATATCGCCTCAGTTCCGAGCGAACGCATGTATAGGAGTATAGGAGCTGAGCCATGGAAATCCGTGTCTGTGATTGGGCTTCGCTGGTTCAAGTGAACCGACGTTCTGGTCGCTTCAGTTAAAGAACTAGGGGCATAAATCGTACGGTATTCAACGGAAAATGTCAGCAGGAAGCGTAAAAAATAAAAAATCATGTACAGATTTGGCATTTCAACATATTTTT